CCCTATCATGTCATTGTCTGCGACCTTACTGTAGAAGTACAGCTCTAGCGACAGCGGGGTAGCACTGAAAGGTTCAAAATATTCTGCAACATATACTATTCTGGTAACTAATTGATCATACAAAGAAAATGCATAATTTAATCCCCTGTAACGATTATACAGCGAACTACAGGATAATTTCTAACCCTGCATCGCGCTATAAATGTTCTCGCGCCGATTAGTGTCCCCTTCGGGACGTTGTGGAGACCTCAATGTCTCACAACATAGACCGTTGGGCCTCTCGAGGATCCTTTTTGTGTTGAAGGGATTTAACATCCTTTCTTTCACAATTATTTTTTAATTATTTATAATATTTGTTAAAAGGTATCGCACTCTATAAATATTTCTGTTATTATCTATTATTATAGTAGTAGTACTTCTCTCTTTTCTCTCGACTATTTCTGAATCTACATTCCTGTAAAATATAAGTAGATTAATTAATCTTCCTATTTCTTCTTCCCGTCAGCTTTACAAATCAGTTACTTCTTAAACCCCCCTCCCCCCTTCCCAAAACGTACTTCTCTAATGGCTTAAAACTTAAAAAATAGATTCAGTCTAATACTTATTACCTATTGTCTCTTTTATTTTGCAAATATAAATTTATGAAAGTATTTCTTACAAAAAAAAAAACAACGCAATTTAAGTTTGTGTTTTAAGTCTGTATTATCTCCTGTAATGAAATCATAGACATTTACACTATTCTTTGCAAAATCAATAGAAAAAAGCAAATATAATTGTCAGTAGCTTTAGAAAGGACTTCAAGTGTTCGGATACATCCATTACATTAGGGTATTTCCGATACATAATCATAAAAAATAAGTATACGAGTATAAGTATTCAATAAGAATTCAAAAACACAATTTACAAAGAAAAACGTTTTTCAAACAACCACACAATTGCAAATGCAAACTGATTGCATATAATTTTGTATTTTATCACTTTAAACTTACGTTTTATAATTATTTATGAGAATGACAGTAGCACCCTCTAAAAAGGTATAGAACTATTTAACGGTTTATTCAGAAAACGGCCCTTCGCAACATGTGCTCACACGCATCGTTTACCCGCTAGCACTTTGGCTCCATCCTAATTATTGTTTACTTTTTCCCACGGCCACATTGGTCAGTTGCCGAAGGTTTTGACCTTGGAGTTTTGTCTGCAGTCGGGATGTCGCTCAACGCGATTTGGGGCACTTACATGTATTGTTGTTAAACCTGTTTGGAAACTATTTGTAAGAATATATTGTGAGGATGTTTGCAAAAGAATAAAAATATATGGACGTATTTTGCTAAAACCAATAAAAATAATGGCAGCAGTTTACAGATACAATTGCTAATTAAAAATGGAATAAAAAACCAAAACCTGCTAGCCTGACATTTTTACATTTGAAAATAGCGGCACGCAGACACGATTTGGATTTAAGTAATCTAGCTTACTCGGGATGATGTAAAGATCATAAAGATACTCATGTACATTTAAACTATTTTAAATTTTGCGTTTAAGCTTTTTATAGAATAAAGAAAGTGACATACATGAACCATGTATATATTCCTAATTTTTTGGCCAGTCATATTAAAAAAAAGGAGGTTAAAACCTCCTAAGGAGAGGCTCATGTCCAGCAGTAGACCATTAAAGGCATAAAAAAAATACCGACGTTGATTATATTTTAACAATGAAATCGCCTATAAATAGCCTTTATTTTCTTTTGTCTCTCTTTCTTATTTATCTCAATATGTATGCTGGTTTGATTTAAATATTTTACTATTATTCTTAACGCATACTTTACATACGAGATCAAGCATTCTTCTTCATACATATTTCAAAGATTACCATAATGTACCATTTTATTCTAAACACGACTAGAGAACAATTTAAATGTGGCGAGATTCAGTAAAAACAGTGAATTAGAATCGCTTTGGTATTTTGCTTTAGGCTAAACTTGACTTTTTATAATCTCGCCAGGTTTGTAATCTTGATCATTTATTGTTGTTATAGTTACTAGTAATATATACTCCTATGTTTTATTTGGCCACAATATTTGGCCTGGCTTGTTTATCGATGTCGTATCGTTGTACATTGGATAAGCGTAACTCATCAACTTAGTATGCATCATAGTGCGGTTTAACTTTGTACGTAACGTAGATCGCGATCGTGAAAAATATCGATTGACAGTAATGACTGTAAAAACCGCAACAATAATTCTAATTATAAAAATTACTAATTTCACATTAGATAATGCTAAATAATGTATTTTTAAACTGTTTAAGTAAATTTTCTACTGATACCTAGTAGAAAATTAATTGGCGGTACTAATAAAATATTTAATCTTTATTTAGATATTTAATTACAATCGTTAATTAATTTTATAAATGGCGATCAATCAGCTGGCATTGTATTTTTTTTTGTTAGTTATCAAACATGTCCGTGTATGTATAATTAATTTAAATATATATATTTCTAAGCGACACCTTATTAGTAAACATTTATACATATATTTATCTACGTTAAATGATACTTGATTTATGCCGGCTCGTCCGGTGTGATACCACGGCCTCATAGAAAACTAGTGCTAAACAATTCTACCGTTACAAGTCACCGAGTGATTAAGGGTACCTGACCCCAAACCCCTCCCTAGCGTCCTGAAGGCAAATTCACGTGAAAAAAAAGTTCGGTTGCAATTCCGTACCGGTCAACTCTCGAACTCGCAACTGTCACAAAAGGTATTTTCATAGTAAAATACTAAAGTTTTACTAAGACTAGCAGATTACCGATTTTCGGTTACAATGCAATATAATCGCATTAGTCAACGTTGGATGTTTACAACTTTTCTATGAAAATACCTTTTATGACAGTTGTGAGATCGACAGTTGATCGAAATTGAATTGAGATCGAACTTTTACTAGGAGAATTGTCCTTCTGATAACTTTAAAGCGATCTATGTAGTAGTTAAGGCGTTGAATGGTAACAAACAAAGCACGAAACACACTTAATTTATCCTTTATTTAAAACTAGTTTTTGACCACGGTTGTGGGTCATTACTTGATTTCTTAAAGATATTTCTTGTACGTTTAGTTTATTAGGTATTTAAAATTCTCGAAGCACCATTATCATATCGATTACCTTACAATATTAGGTAATCGTATTCAACATTCTTTTCTGGGGTGTGAAAATATTGGTTGTTAAGGGAATAATTTTAAACATGTAATATTTTATTCATATCACACCCAGTGTTGTAGGAGTAGAGTTATAGCCTGAATTAGGCGGCGAAAAAGCGAATTATTTGAAAGAGAATCTGCTGCCCGCTGTGATGTAGAATTCTTTTTATCTATACTTGATTCTGAATTTACAACGAATAGATAAGTGAATAGTGGTCTACAGAACTATGTATATGTTTATTTATATAACTAAATACGCTTTTGTACATCGGCGGACTTAATGCCCAGGGCATTTTATTCTAGTCGAAATTTGGGCGGTATAGAAATCTTGTAAGCTTTATGTACCTGTATCAAGATTATGAATATTACACAAACTTATTCGATTCAAATAAAAAGTTCTTCGACTGTAAGTCTGATTTTAACCGTTTTAAAATCCAAAAAATTAAGACTCATTTTAAATATCTAATACCATATAAGTAACAAAATTGGACGAAAACTGAGTAATCCCGGTAAATAAGCAGATTTTGTGATTTTGTCTGTTTCAAAAAATTCAAGTAAAAGTAAAATGTGAGTTATTTAAAACAAACTTATCGAATTTTTAACTGAATATTAACATATTTTAACATAAAATACATTAAACTCAGGATATGAATATCGAATGAAAATTTCAAAAATCATCTAACGCTTTAAAATACAACGACCGTGACACTGTATAATGCGGATACAAAGAAACCTTGACAAAATACGTTTTTACGGAGACAAGTTTTTTTTATTATTCATACTGACCGGTATTTACATCATAGAACTATTACTTAATAACTCACATTCATTAATTCTAATTTAGTTCTTCGATAAAATTCCTTAACGAAATTTAATACTTTTTGAAAATGGAATGTCAGTTTCTAAATGAGTTCTTTTTTTTTCAAATATTCGATCTGTAATTTGGCTAGACACAAGTGTCGGACGGAACTCGGGGCATAGACAAACTTGAAAAGAACTACAAATGAGGTCGTTCACCAAAGATTTTAATAGCTATCATCGTCGCTCAGAATGTCTGACTTGATTACTTTTATATTCAAGGCCATCTAAATTACCAAAATCCTCGTTCTCATGGTAAAATAGTAATATTAAAATACATCCTAAAGAACGTGTGAATCATTATTTGTGTGTGGTAACTTAGATCTCGTGAAACAAAATGTAAATCTTCATTCTCTTTGTTTTCACAGGCCGTTTCCAGTTTTATTTACACAAATGTGTAAGAAACTTTATGTGAAAAAACCAACATCGAGTGACTCATACTTTATCGACAATAGTGTATCCGAACGAATTTTAATATAAGTAACTAAGCATTCCGAAATCAAAATAAAACTATCGTTTAATTTAGTGTTGCCATATTAACATTAACAAGCTTTTTTAATACTCAATAAGGCAGACATTTAAGTGAGTAATAACAGAAAAAAAATCGTGTCAAGAGCAATAAGTGTATGTCAAGGGGTTCTGCAACTTTCCTTTTGTAGAACAAGCGAACTGGATGACATCGATCGTAATAAAATAGTGGTGAATCGTTTAAATACGACCCTCTGCTACCTTAAACGGTTTTATTGTGGATGGATTTTGGCGGATCTTTTCACAATAACTCGCCAATCGGCAGTGCTCGTATCCTTAATTATAAACGACCAAAAAGTGCTCACGAATAATCCAAATCTAAAAAATATATAACAAGCTCACAAAAAATAGGTGCCCGAAACTTTAGAAAATAAAAGTGCGGTTCTAAATTCGAACTATGCTAAGTGTGTGTGCGTGAAAATGTCTACACAAGCGTATTACAAGGAACGCCTCGGGTTTGACCCGCAAGAGGTAATGCAGGATGGCGTTAATGGCGGCGGTGCTTACTACGATGGACCTCATCAACCGAAACGGCACAGGGGTGACCATCACTCCGAGACCCACGACCAGGTTTACGAGGAGAACCTAACGAAATTCAAAGGTACAACATGTTGGGAGTTCTTTATTCAACAGTCAGGTTCGTGGTGGTGGGTTATAGAGAATGCGCGTGTGTGCGTATGGATGCATACGTGTGTTAAACTCACTCATGTATGTACGTGTTAGGTGTTTGTTTAAAAAAACAGTGGACTGTTTTGATGCAAAGTCGTTGTTTTAACATTCTTCGCGTAGTCTGTTTAGTACTAATACGAGGTTGCCATCCGTTCATTTGTCAATGACGTCCCATAGAGGTCGAATTATGTTACTTGGTAACTTTTTTAGTTTTTATTTTCAAATAAAAATGTAAAGGAGTCTGTAATTCATAAGATAAAAATATAAATTATTAAGTATTTGAAGTTAATATAGGTTTAACTCATTACAAATGAAAGTATTAACGAATGGCAACACTATAGTTTTTGAATATTTTCTTTTTGCATTAATGTAATAAAGACTGTTTGTCATAGAATTTAAATTTTTCATCACCAGTTTCATTGTTGCTTTAATTTTTGTATAGGTATTTAGTGTACAACCATCAAGTGTAATTAATTTATTCCTAGCGCATTCCTAGTCCTACAAACATTATAAAATGCTCATAATAACTTAAAAATACTGACCTTTTCTTGCCTTCAAAAGCTACATAAAAAAAAAAAGATATCAAGTAATTATTTCAATTAGGCGCTAATGAAGATAACCTTTATACCAAAAAAACTTAGCTTTCACTATCGCTTGGTTTACTAACCCATCGAACCACATTGGAATGAATTAATATTTACGTGTTACGCCTTAGAATTAAATGTTAATCCTTTTCTTATTTAACATTACTAACCTAACGTTTCAATTCATACATATTTATTTAAAACTCTTTAGACCAACATCATTTCTTATCTTAAATATCAAGTTTGAACTTGTAAATCTAAAAAGCCTGTATCACTAATTTAAAGTTCGTTAAAACAGGTATGATTTTTTTGTGTGGCGTTATTAATTTAAAGTTTAATTCTGTAACGACATTTTATGGTTACTGGTTCTTAATTTAAATACAACGTATTTTATTACCGTGTTTACTAAACAGTTTGTGTTTTTTTCTTTGTGTTGCTAGCATTTATGTGTTTGTTTATTCTTAATGTGAATTATTATAATTACCCTATCATCTAACAGTACAATAAGATGTGTGTTGTAGGGCTCTTATGGCCTTAGTTTTTTTTTATTTGCAGTAGGTGAACGGAATCATTTCGTTGAGGTTCCTTAAAATTACACTTCCAGTTGCCTCTAAATGCCCTATTTTCTAGTTAATCTATAGAAAATATCTATTTATTTTTATGGCTCTTAATGGAACTGTCATTATCAAACAGAAATTGAAATTTGTCCAGCAGTTTTCGAGGTATGCTATTACCAAGGAACTAAAGGTCACTATTTTAAATAGAATTTTCTCATAACGTTTAAGATGTTGTTTATAACCTCTTTAAAACAATAAAAACTCAACAATAGAGGCGTGTATCGAGTATGCGCAACGTGTGCCAACAAATGCCTGCATATATTTGTATTTAGTTTGTGCAAATTACATTCGATTCGATTTTACGAAAATGTAAAAAATTATTTAACACTAGCTATGTTGTTTAGTTAAACATTTCGTTTAACTAAACAACATAGCTAGTGTTAAATAATTGTCAGATAAATTATGTAATTTAAAACAACGAAAGACGACCATAAATAAATTGATTACCAGCTTTCAATCAATTATCATTTTTAAGTAGATGCAGTCGTTGTTGGCAACACCGTGCCTGTCACAGTTGTAATAATGTTTTGTATCGACCGTAAGTAATCACAAATGACTTTCATTTGCACCCACTTTGTATTTCGCAATCCCTCTGACTCAGGTTTGAGAGTCATTATATGACATCACACGAAATGCTCTTAGGAGTAGTTGACCTGAATACCTTGTTTATATGATGTATCGAAAGGTCAGTATTGATCACTTTAGTTCATTATCCTTTATGTCTATATGTTATGAGTAGATCATTGGAAACCAATAACGTAAAGAACTGCTAGAAAAGCTGTCTTACAGTACGACTAATAATAATGATGCAGAAGGCAGTTCTCCTCGACACGGCCCGAATAGTGAAAAGTTTCTTGTCTTGGGAGTCCTAACCATCGGTGTCTTGGTGATTTTTTTTAAATAAAGTGTAAATACTATAATTGATATGTGTAAAAAATAAATCTATCTAGTTTCAAACTAAGCAGAGCTTGTATTACGAAAGCTATATTGACTGAGAGAATACTCATGTACTTTTTTGAGTTAATGTATGTATATTATACATACAAATATTTGTATACAAGTATGCTATCATCTAGGTGATCATAAGCTACAGCTGAAGCTACAGCTGAACCAAGAATAGCGCTACCTACCTGTTCTGATAGCCAGTACTTCAACCTAAGAACTCCTAACGGTCATAATCGAGCGCCCAGCGATGTCTAGTAATTCTTAAAAAATCTAAAGTTCAGGGACACAAGGATGAACAGTTTTTTTGAACTTGATATTCGCGGAACTGCGCCAGTCAATGAACAGATTGCTGTGTCAATTTAAACCAAATCCAAAGTAATTTTGTGATGACTCATGACGTTGGGTGACGGCGCCGACCTCTGTGTCGAATTGTACTTTTTATTGGCCTTTAGACCAGGCATCAAACAAACCAACGTCATTACGTTAATAAAATAGTTGTCTTTGATAATTTGCGCCTATTGGTTACAGTGGCGCCATTCGTGGAGAACCACTTCTTGTCAATTAGTTAGCTTGTCAATAAAAACTTAGAAGAGTATTCATAATTCGACACATATGGGCCAATTTGACCAGAGTTATACCACTGCTAATTGGATACTCACGAAAGCTGCTGATAATCAATTCTTTCCCTGTTTCACCGAGTGACTGGGGATACCCGAGAAACCACCTCCCTTTCCCTAACATTTGGAAGGAAAACTTGTGGGAACCCTTTGTAACTTGAGTTGCGAGTGTCCATAAGTGGAGGTAGTGACTTACCATCAGGAGGCCGGTCTGCACGTTTACCCTTTGTACCACTATACCATAAAATCAAATTTATATTGCAAAACATACCCGGTTTTTAAATCTAAGAGGCAAATCCCAGGTACTCTTCTTTAAGTCCGAACATAAATATTGACCCACAAACAAAGGGCAAACTATTCTACAGGGGACCGCGTGTAAAGCGGTTATCGCGGTAAAAAGTAGCCTATGTAACTTGCTGATAATGTAGTTTTCCCATCGATGAAAGAATAAAATCGGTTTAGTAGTTTAGGCGTACAAGCGAATAAATAAGCGAACTTATTTTAACGTTTATAATATATATAGCTTTGGCCCGCAGCTCCGCCTACGTGTAAGTCGGTTACGCAGTAAAAACTAACCTATGTTATTAGCTGATAAAGAAGCTTTTCATTGGAGAAAGATTTTTCGATATCGGTTTAGTGGTTTAGGCGTGAAAGCTAACAAACAAACAAAAACACTATGTCATTTATAATGTATGTATGGTTGGATTACTATAACAATTACTATCAAAGAAAATATCAGGAGGTTCTGCCTCAGAGTATACGCAACCTATGTTCCTACCCTGGACTTGAAAGGAATTAATTCTCTTTCATTAAATAAGTTAATACTAGTGTTTCTAGATATGGTTTGATTCCCTTATTAGGTCGAGGTTGTAATAGTTGTTTTAATTAGTTATATTTGCTATTTTAATTAGTATACGACTGTTATAGTAATATCTAGGTACATTAGTATTACCTATTATATCGTGACGAGGACTTCTGTGAAATGCTGTAGTATATTCTGTATTCTTTTTATGGAAAAGGAGGGTTAACGAGCAGTCAAGTCACCTGATGGTAAGTTACTACCGCTGCCTATGGATAATTGCAATTCAAGAGTCACACAGTTGCCAACTGTTAAATTCCCCCATTGAGAATCAGGAGAGAGGGTGTTTGGCAAATCACTTATTTCATAGAATTTGAATTATTTTGCTTTTGATATCGTCGGAGATTCAACAGCACTTTACTGTCTTGTTTCCAATTTTATTTGGGTTCGACGCAATGTATACCATTACAAAGGCTTCGGTCTGGTTACTTTTATGACCGGCTGTCTGATCTAATCTAGAACTCTAAAGATTTGTGACATTTGTCACTCCAATCTAAGATTCTACTACTCCCATTTGTTTTGTGGCCGTGGTGCTTCCTTGTTTAAAAGGGTGTATGCCCTTTTTATTTCCTTTTGTCTTCCGCTTTGCTAAGGAAGGAAGTGGATTTACTGTTTTTCCAACTCCTCCAATTTTCTTCTGATTAATTTCGTTGCGGGTTCTAAGACAGTTTAATTTCTTCCTGGGACTTCCCGAGTGTCATAACTTGGTATGTTCGTGGGTCACTGCTGTGGATCCTGGTGTACAGGAGTTACAGTGGTGGGCGTGTGGGTGGGATTAGTCCCAGTCCCATTTGTATCAATATTTGTGTTTCTTTAATTCTCCTTCTCTTGCTTTTATTAATTCTAGTTTACTCCGTTCGTTATACGCGGACACATATGGCTACTGGCTATATCTATAGCAGAATGCACCTACCCAGTATGATGCACAGGAAAATAGCCTTTATATCGACCACAGTTTTGATTATATTGACCCGCAGACATTGAAACGAATCGGTTAATTAGTACAATTGGTATACCGTACGATATTAAATTAAAATGGTTTTCCAAGACGAAAAATTTGATTGTAGTCTAGTCATGGCTACGAACAGCACAGGAAATAGTAAAGCACTTAATCTTACGATAAATTTCTTCTGCCTTGTGAGAGTGAGCAAATAAAAACTGATCCACTAGAAAGGGAGAAACAGTGTGTGCGCCCGAATGCATCTCCTCTTGTCTAAAACATAGGTAGCACACAATAACAAATAGGTCATTAGTATCGTAGGCGATGACACTGCTGTAATTTAAATCCTGACGCGACGATCATTACTTGA